TTAATCAATTGGTTCAATTAAGACCATTTCATTAAGATGGTTCGCGCCAGACATCGTTTCTTGTTGGTCTTACGATCGTTTGTCAAGCCAGCGAACTTCAGAAAAAGCTTTCCTTTGAAGCCGTCATTCGCGTAGAAACGCGATGTCATTAGCTTTTAATCGGAGCGTTCCATCAATTTACCCTCTCTTTCATTCAGCCGTCCTCTTTTTCCTCCATACCTTCGTGATATGGGTATCGATTCTGTCGATGTTCATAAGCGGTAAACTTTTCCGTCCGTATATTCTTACAGTTCAGATATTGTCGGCTTCCAAATTACGCGTATTATGTCAATCACAACGAATCTATATCTCACATACGAAAAGAAGAGAAAACTAATGTGCGGATTAATATAAAAATTATTCATGAGGCGCCAGTAATATTATACTTGTCATCCTTTATTAACATTCGTTCAGAATATGTTCGAACCGAAGATGACAATTTTGAAAGCGTTTCGGAACGATCAATCATGGTTGAGAAATTCATGAAACCAGGTGCAAGGTGGAAACTTTAATCGACGCTCGCGTGATAAGTTCTTCGCACCATCGTCCGTTCGTTTCGTCATCGTCGGCACGTAAGAACTTTGATCTCCCGTACATGCTTTTGAATTCAGATGAAAGCAATTTCCCTCGATTACCAGGCGGAGGTGCAAGATAGGCTACGATCGATTCGCACGTGTTCCTAAGCATTCACTTGGCGATTTCGAAGCGAGATTTATTGCATGCATAATCACGCAGCTTCTAAGCACGCAAACTGGTATCATTTTTCTATGTCAAATTTTTCAGATAGTCACCGCATTTGCATAAATGCAATTTCCAAGCGCGAAGTCATGCATCACATAATTAAAAACACGTGCATACCTTTAACAATTTGTTAGTAATGTTTTTCACACTATGTCAATTGAAATGTAAAACATTTAAATTGAAATGGAAATCTACGCTTTTTGTATATCTTCCTTTACCGTACAAATCTTTCTAATACCAAATTTTCAAGACGTAGAATAAATTTAGACGCTTCAGGGTAATAAATTATCAATCTTCTTGCGAGACAGCGCATTTTGTTTCGAGACAGCTCGTATTGCGTGAATAATCGTGACGGTCGCTGTAAATCGTTATAACCGAGAGAAATAAATTGCGCGTCTCTGAGTTGTGTTACATCGTTTCTATCATAAATTATCTTTTATATGATCAATAATTTTTCGTCGCATTTTTTTTGCACGCCCTTTTTTTTCTATTGCAAAAGCATGACACTGAATAATCTAATTTCCAGGTTATCTCGTTATTCTCATCAAAGGATCTCGAAAAAGTAGAGGCGATCGACGTTGTTGCGTACGAAGCGATTGACCGGGAAACGACGCGATATCGTGAGAAGAGTGACGGCGCGGGAAGAGGTCTCTGTAATAGAGGTTTATTGGCAATTAATCTTGCAAGCCGGATGTGCCCGCTTCGTCGGGCACGATACACTTCCGTCTCAGCGAGCGACCGGTAAACCGAGGAGAGATGTATTGCACCGTTCTATACGGAATCAAACGTACATCCTCCTCTCCAACCTTCCTCCCGTTCGATGCCGAACCTCCGGTGTACGTGTCGTGCGTCTTTGTCAGCCGCACCGGAAGTGTATTGTTCCCCGAGTACCTCCGGTACTCGCAAGGTGCCCATCAACTTTGATCGAGTGGGCTAACATACGTAAGTGACGTTATCTTTTCCGAATTCGCGTTGCATAGTGTCTAAATGTGTTAAACCTAACTGAAGTGCATCTATTTCATCGCGATATAACGTTAACAAAGCGTTGAGTTGATCGCGCGTTACGTTCATGCGTTTATTATAGTTTAGTATATTATCGTACTTTCCACGCCCACGTCGAATTATTCAATGCGAGGGTGGTATCCTGAATTACTCTCCACCGCCCCCCCCCTCTCTCTCTCTCTCTGTCTACACAAGAGTATCGATTTTCTTTAATATTTAATAGTTCGATTCTGTTCTGGTGGTGTCACAAAGAGAACAATAGCACGCATCGATGCACTGTTTCCGTGAATAGCAGTAATTCCGTCATCAAATTTAACCTCGATGATCCGATACGCGAGCTGCGATATTGCGGTTTGATTTTCAATCGACGGTTCGTTGATAGAAACGTGCGCCACATAGAATTCGAAAAAAAGGTCGCGCTTGCCACTATTTGTTACTGAGCTGCATCTATTACTACTATTATAGATATAATTATTTTTACTGTGAAACAAAAGACTATCAGCACCGTTATTATTTCCACCAAATCAGATTAATGATCACTTGCGATGGCTATAACCATCAGCTCGGACTGAGAGTTTTCAATCTTTTAATCAAGCAAATTGTTAAGAATTAAAGGCGAAAACAGAAATGGATCGAACTCAGGAATGAAATACGTATATAAACATCGCATTCAACTCGATCCGCATTTTCCGCTTAAATGCACTCACCCCTT